GCATCCATGTCCCTACAAAGGACATGGATGCAGCTGGAAACCATCATTCTCAGCAAACTATCACAAGAACAGAAAACCAAACACCGCATGTTCTCACTCATAGGTGGGAACTGAACAATGAGATCACTTGGACTCGGGAAGGGGAACATCACACACCGGGGCCTATCATGGGGAGGAGGCAGGGGGGAGGGATTGCATTGGGAGTTATACCTTATGTAAATGACGAGTTGATGGGTGCAGCACACCAACATGGCACAAGTATACATATGTAGCAAACCTGCACGTTGTGCACATGTACCCTACAACTTGAAGTTTAATAATAATAAATAAATTTAAAAAAAAATTCCAGACAATTTAAAAATGGGAAATGTGAATATCTAAAACTTTTAGGGAGGATAAGGTAGAGCCAGATGGTAGAATAGAACCTTCAAGGACTCATACCCTTGAAATAACATCAAATTGAACAACTATCCACACAAGAAAATGCCTTCACAAGAGCTAAGTAATTAGGTAAGAGATCAGAGTACCTAATTTTACCATAAAAACAGAAAAGACACATTGAAAAAAGTAGAAAGAACAGTCTCACACTGCCTACACCAGCCCTACCCCAACCCTAGGCAGCACAGAGCCCAGGGAAAGATTCTGTCCACTTGAGAGAGAGAGAGAGGAAAGTGTGTGAGACTTTGCATTTAGTACTGGCCCTGCCACAATAAAAGACAACACTAGGCATAACACCATGACCCCTGATTCCAGGCTGGTGACCACGAAGAGAGTATTTAGACTCACTGTGGACCAGAAAGGAATCTGTCATCCCAGTGGGAGAAACTCAAGTCCTGACCCAATTCACCCTTGGCTGACTGAAGTGGGCTCAGGTCCCGAATAAAATTCTATCATAGGCAGGCCATAGTACAACAGTCCTTGGGTGATGTCAATGCTGTGCTGATCTGTGAGGCTGGGGGCTTTGGGTGTGGCCCTGCATGATATCAACTGCAGCAGCTATGCAGAGCCCATGTCACTCTTTTCCCAGCTCCAGGCAGTACAGTGTGAAGGGAGACTCCTTCCACTTAGAAGGAGAGGAAAGGATGCAGGGGACTTTGCCTTGGAACCTAGTACTAGCTCTGCCACTGTAAACTAGAGTACCAGAAGAGCCTTGTGGACCCTGATTCCAGGCAGATACTCCTGAACAGTATTTCTAGACCCAATCTAGGCCAGAAGGGAATCACCTGCCTTGGTAGGATGGATCAAAGTCCTGGCCAGCATCATTACTGGCTAACTAAAGTGGCCTCAGGCAATGAATAAATATCAGTGGCAGGTAGGCAGTGGTGGCTGCAGGCCTTGGGCAAGCCCCAGTGCTGCAAAGGTCTAGAAGCCACGGGTAGTGTGGTACCAGCTCTAGGATGTGACAAAAAAGGTATTAAGAGGAAATTTATAGCGCTGAATGCCTACATTAAGAAGTTAGAAAGATCTCAAATTCCCAATCTAGCATTGCATCCAATTGAACTATAAAAACAAGAACAAACTAATCCCAAAGCTAGAAGAAGAAAAGAAATAACTAAAATCAGAGCAGAACTGAAGAAAATTGAGAGATTGAAACCCAAACATCTACACAAAGGATCAATGAAACCAAAAGTTGGTTTTTTGAAAGGACAAACAAGATCAATAGACCACTAGCTAGATTAACAAAAAAAAAATAGGAAGATCCAAGTAAGTACAATCAGAAATAACAAAAGTGATGTTATAAGCTACCCTACAGAAATACAAAAGATCCTCAAAGACTATTATGAACACTTCTATTTACACAAAATAGAAAATCTAGAGGAAATGGTTGAATTTCTAGAAACAAACAACCTCCCAAGATTCAATCAGGAAGAAACTGAAACGTGAAAAGGTCAACAACACGTTCCAAAATTGAGTCTGTAATAAATAACCTACTAACCAAAAAAAGCCCTGGACCAGAAAGATTCACAGTCAAATTCTACCAGATGTGCAAAGAAGAGCTAATACCAATCTTAATGAAATTATTCAAATAAAAAATCAAGTAGGGATTACTCCCAAAGTCATTATATAAAATCAGTATAATATGACAATGACAAAAGAAAACTACAGACCAATATCTTTGATGAACATAGATGCAAAAATCCTCAACAAAATACTAGCAAACTAAATCCAGCAGGACATCAAAAAACGTGAATTCACCATGATCAAGGAGCCTTGATTCCTGGGATGCAAAGTTGGTTCAACATATGCAAATCAATGAATGTGATTCACCACATAAACAGAATTAAAAACCATATGATTGACTGGGCACAGTGGCTCACACCTGCAATTCCAAGACTTTGGGAGGCAGAGTTGAGTGGATCGCTGGAGCCTAGGAGTTCAAGACTAACCTGGCCAACATGGGGAAACCCCATCTCTACTAAAAATACTATAATTAGCCAGCTGTGGTGGCATGCACCTGTAGTTCCACATACTCAGGAAGCTGAGGCATGAGAATCGCTTGAACCTGGAAAGCAGAGGTAGCAGTGAACCCAGATCATACCACTGCACACCAGCTTGGGCAACAGAGCAAGACTCTGTCTCAAAGAAAAAAAAAAAAAGCAAAACATATGATTGTCTCAGTAGATGCAGAAAAAGCATTTGATAAAATCCAACATCCCTTTTTTGATAAAAACTCTCAACAAACTAGGCATCAAAGGAACATACCTTAAAAAAATAAAAACAGAGCCATATTGAATAGGTGGAAACTAAAAGCATTCCCCTTAAGAATTAGAATACGACAAGAATGCCCACTCACACCACTCTTATGCAACACAGTATGGGAAGTCCTAGGCGGAACAACCAGATAAAAGAAAGAAATAAAAAACACCCAAATAGGAAAAGAGGAAGTTAAATTATGCCTCTTCGCTGATGGTATGACTCTGTACCTATTATTAAAATAAAATAAAAATAAAAATAAACATAGCCAAGAGACTCCTAAATCTGGTGAACAACTTCAGCAAAGTTTCAGGACACAAAATCAATGTAAAAGTAGCATTTCTATACACAAATAACATTCATGCTGAGAGCCAAATAAAGAATACAGATTCATTTATTATAGCCACAAAAAAATAAAATAGGTATTGGATGTAGAGATATATTTGTAAATAAACTTAAAATCATTAATGAATGAATAAATCTGTAAATTTTGTTTTAGGTTTGTGTTGGTGTGATGTTAGTGGGCCCAACAGGTGGAGGAAAGACAACAGTCAGAAGAATTTTGGAAAAAGCATTAACACTATTACCAATTGCAGACTTCTTATCAGTTGCAGAAAGCAAATCTGCTTCAAAGGTAAATGTTCTGTTAAATAAAATGTTTCTGTATTTGTTCATATCTTATTTTACCTTTAATTAATATTTTATGTTCTCTTTATATTGGTATTTTCATTACTTATTAAACTTATTGCTAGGAATTTTGTAGTTAAGAACCATAGTGAGTGGGGTTTTTAACTTAAATCTCAAACTGATCGTTACTAGTTTAAAGAAATTATTGTATATTTATTTTGTATCTAGGCACCTTAATAAATGAACTTTTAATTTCTTATTGTGTTTAGGTATCAATTGAATTATCTCCAAATGAAAATAATTTTGTCTCTTCTTGAATATTTATATAACTTCTATTCTCATCTTAATGAATTAACTTTCCAAGACAATGTTAACTATAATATTTGTTCCTTACTTTATCTGGAATATATTTAATATTTGTGTATTTAATATGATATTTGACCTTGGTCACTGATAAATATTCCTTTTCACACTTGGGAACTTTCTTTTCCCATTACACTTTGGTTTATTTGGCTGTTACAATTTATTAAATTATTTTCAGCATCTATTTCTTAAATCTTTTAACTGATTAATGTAATAAACTATGTTGATTTATTAATGTTAACTTGTCTTTGAATTCCTTGCATAGTGCCTACTTAGTCATGATATATTTTTATTCAATATAAAGTCAGACTCCACTAAATAGTATGTACTTCAATTACTTAGTTAGTGATTTATTGTTGGTAACATATTCCAAAAATTTAGAAATTCAGATGATTGGTTATGTGGGTTTTTTTTCAGTTAGTGGGAAATACCCTGCTTCAATATGATACACGTAGTAGTTCATACTCTTTTCTCTTTTCCCTTCATGCAAATTTTCCTTCCTGAAAGATCTCAATTAGTTCTTACACAGTTATAACTAATAAGAGGCGAATTATCACAGCAATAATAATGATAACTAATACGTATGGACTACCTAAAAAGGTCCAAGCAGAGTGCTAAAACACTTTTGCTTGAATTATCTTTAATTCTCACAACAGTGAAGACAGTAATTCGCTTTATTTAAAACAGTTTTTTAATTCCAAAAGTAGTATGTATTATTGTAAGAAATTTGGAATATAAAATGTGAAGGAATAATCACCTAGAATAATAATACAGTAAAATGTGAAAACGGTAACGTGAAAACATATTACTGTATTAGCTTTGATTATTTATTCTACACTAAATGTATTTTGAAATAACTGAGATAGTACCATGTATAATAAATCTTAGTTTTTCCAACCTTGGAATTTTCACCTAATGTTATATGCTGAGAATTAACCTCATGACATTAAACATTTCTGACAAGTATCCCAATTACTGTATTCTGTATATATGACTATACTATAATTTATTTAATGATTCTCACGTTTAATAGTTTTAAATTTTTGTTTTTTAAAGATATAATTGTAATAAACATACTTAAGAATGGTGGTAGGACCTGAGGTAATGGAATTATTTTGGTCATCCTTACTTTATGACTTTCTTCTTATTGGTCTGTTCAAGACCTTCTCTTTATTTTAGTGTAGTTTTGTTTAATTTATTTACCTTATTTCCTTATCTTTCTTTTTCCTCCTTATCATAGGAACCCTCCTTGCTATATGCCTTTAGATATGTGTGTGTCCTTAAAAATTTGATACCCAGTAATGTAATTGCTGGTTGGCAGGGTATAACTTCACCATGTACTGCCAGGTAAAATTCACACACATTAGATAAACCATTTTAAAGTGTACATTTTGGTGACATTTAATGCATTCACAGTGTTATGCAATTACTACCTCTCTCTAATTTCCAAATATTTTTATCACCCCAGGAAAACATCCCTTTCTCATTAAGAAATCACCCCCTATTCTCCTATCTTCCCATTCCCTGGAAGCCACTAATTGGTTTTCTGTTTCTATAGGTTTGCCTATTTTGGCAGAGATGTATGTATAGATATATATATCTAGGTTGTTTCTGTCTTTTGGTTGTAATGAATATTACTGTTGTAAACATTTGTGTACAAGTTGAGTAGACGTATGCTTTGATTTCCCTTGGATGTATACCTTGGAGTAGAATTGTTGGGTCATATGGTAATTCTGTGTTTAGCTTTTTGAGGAACCACCAAAGTGTTTTCCACGGTAACTACATCATTTTAAATTGCCATTAGCAATGTGTGAGGCTTTTTATTTCTCCATATCCTCACCAACATTTATTATTTCCCATGTTATTTTCCATTCTAGTGGATGTGAAGCACTATCTCATCGTAGTTTTGGTGTTGAATACCTTTTCATATGCTTATTGGCCATTTGTATATCTTCTCTGGAGACATGTCTGTTCATGTCTTTGTCCATTTTTAGATTATATTGTTGTCTTTTTGTTGTTCAGTTGTGAGAGTTCTTTATATGTTCTGGACACAAAACTCTTATCAGATTGTGATCTGCAAATATTTTTTTCCTGTTTTGTGAGATGTCTTTTCCCTTTCTTGATGTGAAGTGTAGGGGTCCAACTTCATTCTTTTATGTAGGGATATCCAGCTCTTCCTGTACCATTTGTTAAAGTCTATTATTTTCCCCCACTAAATGGTCTTGGCATTTTTTGTTGAAAGTCAGTTGGCCACAGATGTTTGGGTTTGTTTCTGGTCTCACAGTTCTATTACATTTTTCTGTATGTCTTTCCTTATACCTGAATATATATGTTGTGATTGCTATATGGTTTTATATAGTAGTCTCCCTGTATCCATGGTTTTACTTTGCACAGTTTCAGTTACTCATGGTCAACTGTGGTCCAAAAGCATTAAATGGAAAATTTCAGAAATAAACAATTAATAAGCTTTAAACACTACATTACAATGCCCACATCATTCACCTTAGTTCATCTCTTTATACTGGCATTTTATCATATCATTGTCACAAGAAGAGTGAGTACAGTACAATAAGACATTTTGAGGGAAACAAAGATGACATTCATATCAGTTTTAAGTTATTACATCATATTGTTTTAATTGTTCTATTAATTATTGTTAACATCTTACTGTGCCTAATTTATAAAACTTTATCACAAGTATGTATCTATAGGGAAAAACATAATATATAAATGGTTCTGTAATATCTGTGGTTTCAGGCATCCACTAGGTGCCTTGGAATGTATCCCCTGTGGATAAAGAGGGATTACTGTAGTAAGTTTTGAAACTGAGAAGTGCAAGTTCTCCAACTTTGTTTTTTGTTTTTTTGGCTATTTGGTTATTTGGGGTTCTGTGCAATTCCATATGAATTTAAGGATTGGCTTTTCCATTTCTGCAGAAAAGGCCATTGGAATTTTGATACGAATTGTGTTGATCCTGCAGATCATTTTGGTGAACACTACCATCTTAACAATAAAGTTTTCCAATTGATGAACACAGATGTCTTTCCATTTTTGTATCTTTGATTTCTTCTGCAAAGTTTTCTAGTTTTCAGTATATGAATCTTTCTCCTATCATTAAGTTTATTCCTAGGCATTTTATTTTTTGGAATCCTTGTCTTATTCCTGATTTCAGTCTTTCACCAATTGAGTACAGTGCTAACTGTTGAGTTTCATAAATACCCCTTATCATGTTAAGGAAGTTTACTTCTCTTCCCAGTTTTCTGAGTGTTTTTTTACCATGAAAAGGTGTGAAATTTTGTCAAATGCATTTTCTTTGCCTTTTGATATGATCGTGTGTTTCTTTCCTTCGTTTTACTATGATAGTGGGTTACATTGATTGATTTTCTTGTGTTGAACTACCCTTGCATTCCTGGGATGAATCCCACTTGGTCAGGGTGCATAATCCTTTAAATGTGCTGTTGGATTCAGTTTGCTAGCATCTTTTTGAGGATTTTTGCATATATATTCTTAAGGGCTATTGGTCTGTAGTTTCCTTTTCTTGTGCCATCTTTGGATATGGTATCATAGTAATGCTGACCTCATAGAATGTATTAGTGTTTCCTAGTTTTCTTTTCTTTTTGCAAGAGTTTGAGTAGGATTGGTGTTAATTCTTCTTTAAGTGTTTGGTGGAATTTACCTACCATTTGTAGTTGGACTATTCTTTGTTGGAAGCTTTCGATTATTGAATCAAACTATTTGTTATGGGTCTTTTGAGATTTTCTATTTCTTCAGTCAGTTTTGGTAATTTGTGTGTTTTTAGGAATTTTTCCCTTTCATCTTGCTTGAAAAAACTTTGTTTTACTTTCGAACTGTATATTTGAACTATTGTCTTTGGGTCTAAAGTCAGTCTCTTGTATGCAACATACATTTGGGTCATGTTTTTGTCTCTCCATTATGCCAATTTCTTCTTTTAATTGGCAAAGTTAATCTATTTTATTTTGATTATTGATGATGGACTTTTGCCTTTTTGTGATTTTGTTCTATGTCTTGTATCTTTTTTGTTTCTCAATTCCTCCAAAATTGCCTTTTGTGTTTGATTTTTTTCTAATGTAACATTTGGATTCCTTCTTCATTTCCTTTTCATTTCTTACTCATTTTTAAATAGTTACCTGGGAGATTGCAGTTAACATCTGTTAGGGTCTGAATTGTGTTCCCCTACCCAAAATTCATGTGTTAAATCTCCAACCCACAGTACCTCAGTTTGTGTCTCCCTTATTCATGGGGAATACATTTCATGACCCCCAGTGGATGCCTGGGACCAGATAGTACTGAACCCTATATATACTTTGTTTTTTCCCATAAATATCTATGACGAAGTTTAATTTATAAATTTGACACAGTAAAAGATGAACAATGAATACTAATAATAGAAGAATATTTTAAAATATGATGTAATAAAAATTATGTGAATGTGGTCTCTATCTCTCAAAATATCTTATTGTACTGTACTCACCCTTCTTGTATTCTGTCAATCTGATAACTGAGTTGTTACTGAGTGACTAATTAGCAGGTAGATTTAAGTCCCAGGTGGGACAGAGCAAGATGATGCAAGATTTCATGAAACTACTCAAAATAGCATGAAATTTAAAACTTACAAATTGTTTATTTCTAGAATTTTGCATTTAATATTTTTGGACTGCAGTTAACCACAGGTAAATGCAACTGCAGAATGTGAAACTATAGAAAAGGGAGGAGGTGATTAAGTTAAAATGAGGTTATTACAGCAGGCCCTAATCCAATTTGACTTGTGTACTTATAAGAAAAGGAAATTTACAAACACAAAGAGACATCAGAGGTGTGTGTATGCACAGAGAAAAGACCACATGAAGACACAGTGAGAAGGCAGTTATCGGCAAGTCAAGGAGTGAGGCCTTTGAAGAAATCAAACCTGCTGTCAACTTGATCTTAGACTTTTACTCTTCAGAATTGTGAGAAAATAAATTTGTTGTTTAAGTTACCCAGGCTGTGGTATTTTGTTGTGGCAGCCCTAGGAAACACTTAACTACCAATCTGGTAGAACTGATACCAACTTAACTTCAATAGCAGACATTAATTCTGCTCCTTCCCAGCTCTGTTCCCTGCTTTATGTTGTTACAAACTGTATCTTTATATATTGTGTACCCATTAATATAGATTCATCATTATTATTTATGCATTTTTTAATTATATAGGAAAAAAGAGGAGTTACAAATTAAAAATTAAATAATAGTGGCTTTTATATTTACCTTAACCATAGATTTTTATTTCTTCCTGTGAGTCTGAGTTTTTGTTTATTGTTTTTTTCATTTGAGCCTGGAGCATTTATCCCTTTATCCATTCCTTCAGCATTTTCAGTAGGGCAGGTTTCCCAGGGATTATTTATTTAGCTTCTGTTTATCTGAGAATGCCTTAGTTTGTCCCTCACTTTCATAGGATGGTTTAGCTGCATACAGAATTCTTGGTTGACAGTTTTGGTTTTTGGTTTGTTTGTTTTAGCACTTTATATCATCCCATGCCTTCTGGCCTTTGTACTTTCTGATGAGAATTGACTTTTAATTTTGCTGAGGATCCCTTGTATTGCCTCTCTCCTGCTACTTGAAAAATTTTGCCTTTGGACATTAATAGTTTGATTATAATGTGTGGATATCTTTGTGTTTATTTTTCTTGGTGTTTCATGAGTTCTTGGATTTGTATTTTATATCTTTCATTAATTGAAAAATTTTGGGCCAGTATTTCTACCAACATTTTTTCTACTTTTTCTCTCTTTTCTTCTTCTGGAATTCCCATAATGTATAGATTGATATGTTTTATGGTTTTCCATAGGTCTCTTGGACTCTATTTTATTTATTTTTCTTCTCTTGAAATGGGTAATTTCAGCTTCCTTATCTTCAGGTTTGCTCATTCTTTTTTCTATCTGCTCAAATCTGCTATTGAATGCCACTGTTGATTTTTTATTTCAACTATTTTATTTTTCAGCTCTATAAACTCTATTTGGTTCCCTTTTATTATTTCTATCTCCTTAATGGTAGTTCCTACTTGTTCTTACACTGCTTTCCAGTTTCCTCACACTTGCTCTGTGCTGGGGTAGTTTTTGACTGATTAGCTGTGCCTGCTCTGAGCCTAGTGATCAAGCTAAGATGAAAGTTTCAATTCATCTCAGGTCTTTCTGCATACATCTTGATGCATATGGCTTTCAGAATTCCCCTATATGAATATCTAAATTTCCCAAAGATTTTACCCAGGCTTCTCCCTGAGGCCTTATATGGTCTGTCATATGTTTCTAGCTGTCATCTCTTGCCCTAAGCTTCCACAAGTCTGTAATCTCTCTGAAGAAGTGCCTGCCAATTTTTCTGCCTGACATCTGAGATACAGAAAACGAGACCAGATATTCTGGCAAGACAGGTTAAAATATTGCAAATAAGGTTTATTTCAGGGCCAATTCTGACCTTAAGCTTAAAAGTGTTTTCTACTGTCTTTCACTTCTATACTCAACCCAGTTCCCAGGCACGTTACATGCCAGTTTATATACTGTGTTCCTGGATTAGACACAGATTTTTTCCCATTTTTTCTGGGGGTACTGTTTGTAGTATTAGTTTTTTTTAAAAGAATGATTTGTATATTATGGCTAATTTTAACAAGTCAATATTTACTGTTCCTTGCAAATTGCTACCTTTATATAAAGTCTTTTTTTTTTTTTTTTTTTTTTTTTTTTAAAGTTTTTTTTTTTTTTTTTTTTTTTTTTGGTGTGAAGGATTTCTCCTGTAACCTTTTAATTCTTATTAGAATGCAAATAAACTAAATAAGTGTTCTATAGGTAGTGTCTTTAAAAACTACACTGGATTTTTCTCAGATTTCAGGAAGAAAAGGAAAAGTAGACATTTGTGTTTTAAATCCAAAGTGTATCACTCTCAGTGAACTATATGGACAACTGGATCCTAATACTATGGAATGGACTGATGGATTATTATCAGCAACAATTCGAAGTTATGTATATTTTAACACACCAATGAACTCAAAGAAAGACATTGATCTCAGACTAAAGTCAAGAATCTCAGATTTATCCAATGTAAGTTTAGTGTTGAATTAATATTTTTATTTAACGAATGTGGATTATTTAATTGCTTATCCAAAGACTGATGTTAAAACGTTAGATATCTAGTAGTGTAAAAGTAAATTTTAAAATGTTATGAATAGTTTTTATAAAGAGAAAAATTGTAAGTTATTAAAAAATGGAAAATCTCCCATTGAATTTTAAAATGGTCAGTAAATGAAAGAATGAAGTTAAAGAAATTTTCTTTTAAAGGAGCACAAAGTGAATTAAGTTTGAATGGAAAATGATCTAGTGATTCCAGCACCTCCAAAATACCTTACAAACTAACGAGACTAAAAAACCCTTTGTTAGAAAAGCGAATGAAGTATTTGATAGAAAATTCATCACAGAATAAATACAAATGGCAAAAAGGAAAATTTTTATTCTCATTAGCATTAACTAGAGATTACTGGTCAATTTCATTAGATAAAACACATTAACAAAGAGATGATGTTTAAAACCAAACAGAGAAGCCAGGTGTGGTGGCATAAACCTGTAATCCCAGTTCCTCTGGAGGCTGAGGCAGTAGGGTCACTTAAGCCTGGCAGTTCAAGACCAGCCTGGTCGATATCACAAGACTCCATCTCAAAGAAAAAGAATAAATATTAAAACTAAATAGATTAATAAAGATTTTTAAAATGGGAAAACAATATTTCACATTTACTAGATTGTGAAGTAGAAATTCATATGTGTCTGGAGATAATATTGGGAATATGTATTGAGATTTAAAAACAGACATTCCTTAATATGAAGGAAATAAAATTGTATTGGGTTGTTGCTATTTTTATATTGGTATGAGAATCCTTTCTACATTAAAAAGTAATCATTTATCTGTCATATGTGCTACACATATTTTCTCCAATCTATGAAAATGTTTATCAGTATATTCTTTGATAGATTATAACTTTTCAATCACACCCTGAAAAGGTTATTCTTAGTCTAAGATTATTATGGTAAATTGATAGTTGCATAATAACAAACATATAGTAAACCTATTTAAACCTTTGATCTGTGTGTAATTTATTTTAGTGTAAGTGATTTTTTCCCAAATGGAAAATTTTTCTGACACAATTGAGTAACTCATCTTTTTCCCACTAACATAAAATGATACTAGATACTTATATTTGGGTCTGTGTCTGCATTCTTTACTCTACCTGTCTGTGGCCAGCAAAAAAAAAAAAAAAAACAATTTTAATTATACTGACTTTATTATAGGTTTTACTATCTAGAATAATAGTCTGTCTTTATCAGTCTTCTTTTTCAAGATTTATTTCATAGTTGTTCTGCAACTTATGTTTGTTTCCCCTTTGCAAGAAATGCTTGAGTTTTTTTTAAGTTCAGGTAGTGGAATCTTTATGTTGTTGCTGATTTTATTATTTTATTGTCTTTTATTGCATTGTAATTAGAGAATATTGTCTCTGATATTTGTCTTATTTTTAGGATAGTTTAGCATTTGCTTAATAATATGAAATAATATTTGCATTTTTATAGGCAGGTTTATTCCATTTACATTATTGGTTGTAACATATGTTTGGGCTTATTGTTGTCATTTGTTTTATATTATGATTCTTTTTAATTATCCAGTGTGTATTTTCTTTGCTTTGATTTCTTTATTCCCTCTGATAATTTGGAAGATCCATAGTCTATTTTATTCTCCTTGGTGTTACTTTTATAGCTATGGTTTTATAATACCATTAATTTTCCATTTAGATGGTATCTATGACACTTTTATCATGTATGTAATCATGAAATTAGTATACTTTTCCTTGTTCCCACTTCCTTTTTGATTTTTCTACCACCTGATTTGGGCAAATTATATTGTTATTACTTTATTCTTACTTTTGCTCATTGTTTTAACTATAAATTGGCTTATGATTATATTATTTCACTTTTCAGTTTTAAATAATTACTTGAAATCACCAGCACCCTGCTTTTAGATGAAAATATTGACATAAGCAAATGACTTCTCACCTTTTTTTCACATCTGACTTTTACTAGTTACACTGTTGTATCATTGTGACAGATTATATCTGCATTCTTCACAATAGCCATGTTTTTGGAAATAAAGACTCATTAATATAGAAATGATAATTCTTCATGTATTGAGCTATAAATGCAATGCAGTTTTAATCAAAATTTTCAGGTTTTGTCAAAACAGCCTTGTTAAGATACAATTCACATGTTACAAAATTCACACATTCAAAATACACAATTCAACAGATTTTTAGTATATTCCCAGAGCTGAACAACCATCACCATGACCTAATTTTAGAACATTCTCATTAACTCAAAAGTAAACATTCTAATCACTGACATTCTCTGCCCATTCCCAAATCACCATCTTCTCCCGCCTCCCCAACACCAGCCTTAGGAAACCATTAATATACTTTCTATCTGTATAGATTTTTTATTCTGGACATTTCATATAAATTAAGTTATATAATATGTAGTCTTTGCGATTAGCTTCTTTGACATAGCAAGTGTTTTCAGGGTGGGTCTATGGTACATCATATAACAGTGCTTCATTCCTTTTTATTGCCGAATAATATTCCATTGTGCTGATACAACTAACATTTTGTTTATCCTTCAGTTGATGGACACATGAGTGGTTTTTATTTTTTGCCATTATAAATAGTGTTGTTATGATCATTTGCATACCAGTTCTTGTGTGAATGTAGGCTTTCATTTCTTATATATATACAGATTAGAGTAGAATTACTGGGTCACATGGTCACCTTATGCTTAACATTTTGAGGAATTGCCAAACTATTTTTTATAGAGGCTGCCTTCTCCCATTTCTCTACAGCCTCAAAACAATTGTGACTGTCTACTTTTTAATTATAGCCAGTTAGTGGTTGTGCAGTGGTAAGTCATATCCTTTAGTGTGTGTTTGATTTGCATTTTCCTGATGGCTAATGATGTTGAGTGTATTTTTATGTTGCTGTTGGCCATTTGTATATTTCCTTTGGAGAATGTCTGTTCAGAGCCTTGCCTATTTTCAATTGCTTACTTACCCCTTAATTATTGAGTTTTAAGAGTTATTTTTCAATACACATCCCTATTCAGATATATGATTTGCAAATATTTTCTCTCATTTTGTAGGTCATCATTACTTTCTTTGATGGAATCTTTTACAGGACAAAAGTCTTTAACTTTTTTCTTTTTTTATCATTTGTCTTAATATCATATCATTAAAAAGCTTGCATAACTGACCGTCACAAAAATTTATTTCTATGTTTTATTTTAGGAGTTTTATTGTTTCAACTAATATGTAGGTCTTTGGTCCATTTTGAGTCAATTTTTCTGTGGGGTGTAAATCAGGGACCCCCTCATTCTTTTGTATGTGGATATCCAGGTGTTCCAGCAATATTTGTTGAAAAGACTGTTCTTTCCCTCCATCAAATTATCTTGACACCCTTGTAAAAAAAATCAGTTGACCATAAATGTAAGGATTTATTTCTGGATTTTCTGTTCTGTAAAAAAATCAGTTGATCATAAATGTAAGGATTTATTTCTGGATTTTCTGTTCTGTACCATTGATCTATGTCTGTGTTTCTGTAAATACTACGCTTGATTGCTATAGCTTTGTGGTAAGTTTTGAAATAGGGAAGTGAGATGATTTTTTTTTAAGACCTTGACAAACTGTTTCCAAAATTTATGTGGAACATACATGGTCCATGACACTCCTGAATAAGAGAAAGGATTAGGGTGCTAAGACATACCACATATCAAAAAGTATTATAAAATTAGAATAAAGCAATGTGATATTGTTGTAGAAAAAGATGGCAATTATAAAATAATATGTGCCTATGACATAATGTGAAAATATGCAGAGAAAAAGTTGACAGAATTTAATGGAGAAATTGACAACTGTGCAATCATAGATTTTATTACATCTTTCTCAGCAACTGAGAAGCAATATGGCACAGTGGCTGTGATAAAATTCTTTGTACTAATAATTTTGAGTTAGAAATTGAAATAGAAAAAATTATACTAAAAGTGGTACAAATCTATAAAATACAGTTCGATAAATGTAGAAGAAAGGAGCTTGTCCTATGGAGAGTGGGGCAGGGAAACCTATATAATTGAGAAAACTTGAATAAATGAAAGATGCATCACGTTCCCATATGGAAGACTTCCATCATAAAAATACCAATCCCTACCAAATTAATGTATACAATAATATCTTTCTAACCAAAATCTCAGTGTTTTTTTTTTTAAAAAAAACTGACAAATAAGGGAGGCAGAGCAACATGGCCAAATAGAAGCCTCCATAGATCATCCCTACTTGCCCACAGGAACACAAAATTTAAGAAATATCTACACAAAAATTCACCTTCATAAGAACCAAAAATGAGGTATGTGATTGTAGTACCTGGCTTTAATTTCGTATCACTGAAAAAGGCACTGAAGAGGGTAAGAGAGACAGTCTTGAATTGCCAGTGTCATTGGTCTGCCATCCCCTGGCAGCAGCCGTGTGGTATGGAGAAAAAAATCTGTGCACTTGGGAGAGGGAGAGCATACTGACTATGGGATTTTGCATTGGAACTCAGTGCTGCCAGCACCAGACAGAATTCAGCCAATGCCCATGAAAGGAGTACTGAGACTTGTCCTAGCCAGAGGGGAATAGCCCATCCCAGTGGTCAGGACTTGAATTTCAGCAAGCCTTGTCACTGTAGGCTAAAGGACTCTGATGTCCTAAATTAACTCGACAGGCAGTGTAGGCCGTAAAGGACTGCAACTCCTAGGCAAGACCTAGTGCTATGATGGGCTTAGAGCCAGTGGACTTGGGGGGCATGAAACCTAGTGAGACACCAACTGGGGTGGCAAAGGGAGTGCCTGCACCACACCTTCCCCAACCCCAGGCTGTGAAACTCACAGCTCCAAATGTGATTCCTTCATCGTGCTTGAGAAGAGTGGGAAGAGTAAGGAGAGCTTGGTCTTGCAACTTGTATACCAGCTCAGTCACAGTAGGATAGGGCACCAGGCAGAGTTGTGAGGCCCTAACTCCTGGATGACATATGTAGGCACACCCTGGGACAGAAGAGAACCCACTGCCTT